CTTGTTGTAGCAATCCTCTCCTAAGAATCAAAATAAGGTTAAAAAATAAAATATTTACAACTAATCGCCTGACTGAGAAGCATAACTTTGAACTTTATAGTTTTTAAATAAAGTGGTACCCTAGGTATAAGAAGCCTCTAGGTACACAAACTTTCCCTACTATTTAATTTCCAATCATTAGCTGATGAATTTTGAGTCATTAGATGATGAGTTTGAAGAGTGTCAATTTAATAGTAAACCTCATACACAGATCCAACACAATTAAAGTGACAGTAATTTTAGCATGGATATATTTATACAGAAAGGGTACAGCATCATTTTTGTTACATAGTATAATATTTAAAACAATATTTGTGACATTTCTTTTGTCTGAATTTATAGTTTATGGTTTATGCATATTTTGTGTGTTTTGATATATTATCACATTGTTTATATGTTTCAAATTATCGTTGAAACTATTACTGAATTGATATTTACAAGCAGAAGGATTCAAATTTTGCTTTAAAATGTATTTATGCAAATAGTTGATTAAATGAAAGTCAATTGAAAGTCAAAAGCCATGCGATTGATCTTCACACAATGATGTTTCCACCACCGTATTTTACTGTTCTTCTCATGCAACTTAATTTGTTTGCTTCACTAGACTTCTTGCTTTCCATCCAATGAGATCAGATTAAATTTGGATTCATCACTCCAAATGCGGCAGTGGTGTAGTGGTAAGAGCGCTCGTTTTGTAAGCGAGAGGTTCGGAGTTCGACTCCCACCACGTCCCTGGAAGTACCGCGCTCAACTTAGTTTCTCCGCGCAGCGGCCTTGCTTGTCAAGGTTCGTGTTTCGGAGTTAAAGAGTTGAGAGAGGGTTGTACCACGAAATACAACAAAAAAAATATAAAACACAAAAAAATGAGTAGCCTCCTCGACTGTAGTGGCCCCCTCGGGCCTTGGGGAGGTGAATAATGTAAAAAAAAAAAAAAAAAAAAAAATTACTTATAAATTATAATATTTTTTTGCAAATAATGGTCTTTGTTTCGTATGACTTATAGTCAAATAGGGTTTTTTTGCTCTACTGTAAAATCTTTGCTCTTGAATTCTGTTTCAGATAGTTTTAACTGAAATCATGATTTTGTGGTTGTTTTGAACTTTGTCTGTGATCTTTTAAGAAGCTTTAAATCTGTTTTGCTTGACTTGTAAGTAATGTTTCAATCAATGGCAGCAGATGTTTTTCTTAAAGGCCTTTTTATGCAATATAAGTTGTAGTTCCATTCAAATTATGCTTTTTCATAATGCTGCCAACTGTTCAAAAAAGGATTCCAGTCTACTTTTTAACTTCTTTTTAGGTCTTACCATTATTTACTAAAAAATTGTCTGGCAAGGAAAATAGCTGTTTAGCAATTTATTGCAAAAAGTAGCAAAGACATTTTTTTAAATTATACTTTTATTATATTTGAATTTTGTTTAAAACATAACTTATAAGTATTTATAACAAACTTGTTAAAAACTTGTTTACTATCTATAGACAAATCTGTGTGAAAAGCTAAACTAAACAATTTAGACTTATCTACCATTTTGCTTTGCAACTTATATATATATATATATATATATATATATATATATATATATATATATATATATATATATATATATATATATATATATATACACACACAGTGCTGGAAAAAAGTCTTGCAACAAGGTACAATTTTACACAAATCAATGTTTCTATGCCAGTAAGCTCAGTGTTATTACCTTATATTTTTATCTTTAGGTATAAATATATTTATAAAGACAATTTTGTAGCTTAAACAGTTAATTCAGAGAAAATCATGGCTAAGATTCGGCAGCTTAGTAAAGAAGAAAAAGCATGCATTCAACGACTTGCTAAAAGTGGTATGTCTCATGCAGACATTGCAACAATTTACATGATTGAATGCACTACAATTTGGAGTGTTGTAAAACAGATTATCCCTCTATCTCCTAAAAAGAGGTCTAGACGTCCTAGCCAATCAAAACGATTCAGGCAATCAAAAGTACCACAGCATGTTCTAAAATGATCCGTTACTCCTGAACTCGACCATTTTTGGTTTTTACAGGCTCTTTGGTGTTCCGCATTTCTTGAAGTGATTTTCTTTTTGGTCTCACCAATATAGCTCGTAAACACTCTGATTTGAGTTCGGAGGTAGTTTTGTTTTGTTATTGCATAGTATGTTATTTAAATTGGGGGCTGAAGTAAATATAACTCTGATGTTTTGTTTTCTAAATTCTCTTCGGAGTTTAGGGCCAATAATAGGTATCCAAGATAGTTTAACAAATTGCTTATCCAATAGTATGGATGTAGTATTTTTTGAAACGCGGTCTAAATAATTTTTGGTTATCTTAATAACTTTTGTTATAACCGTTTTGAAAGAATGTATCTATGAGGACAATTTCTTGTGAGAGATGTTTTTTAGAGCAGATTTGTTTTGCTCTACATAGGAATCCTTTAAAGAAGCCAGTGATTATACTTGGGTTGATGTTAGAGTTTGGTTTATTTGAACATTGGTTATTGCATCCTTACGGTGTACTTGAAATTCATAAAATCCATTCATTATATTTGTAATAGAAATATCTAAAAAGTTTAGTTGTTTTCTTTCGTTTTCAAGTTCAACAGTATATTTTATGGAGGGGTTTTGTTCATTTAAAGTTTTAAGAAACAGTTCTTATTTTTCTTTCAAATCGAAGCAAGCATGGGTATCGTCTACATATCTTTTGTAAGTTATTGGTTGGAATGAGTTAACAAAGGCTATATTAAGGGCTCTTTTTTCTATATTTTGCAAAAATGCTTTAGCTATGACTACCATCAACAATAAACCAATTGGACCTGAATTAAGTAAAATTCAGATTTTATCTTCGTATAAAAAGTAACATTTGCTTAATGAAAGTTTAATTAATTGGTGTATATCTAAAAGAGTTAATTTAGTCCTAGTTTTTGAATCCTCCAAATCATTGTTCAATATGTTAACAATAACTGGTATTGCTTCATCGATCGGTACAGATGGATATAAATTCACTACATCAAAAAATCCTTTTTTATTGAGATCAATTTATATATTTATAACAAGAAATCACTTTTAAAGATTATATATATATATATATATATATATATATATATATATATATATATATATATATATATATATTAGGGCTGTACCGGATTTAATTTTTTCAAATCCGGCCAAAGCCGGATTTGCCAGATTTCTACTGACAGATCTGGCCGGAATCAGAGCCGGAGCCGGATTTCAAAACAAAACTACTGGAGCCAAAATCCTGTACATCCCTACTTGGTGTTGAGCATGGTCAACAATGTGGACTATTCAGAATACCAAGTGACTGCTGTTTTCTGTTAAACTTCATTGTTGTTATTTAAAAACTTTTAAAGCAATTTCTATATATAAATTAATAGAAATTCTAAAGAAATTCTATAGGCCATATGTTTTTAAAGTTTATAGTAATTCTATTGAACTTTTTTTCCGGGATTTTGTCACTCCGCCATTGTACTTCTGGTTCTTTCGGATATTTCCTTAGCTGAGTTTCAATGCCTTTTAGTAATTGTTGTTTATGTGCCCTGCCACCAGCAGACGTAGACTGAATAATTTTATCAATAAATTGCCAGAGTAATGATGATAATGATGTAGAAAAATTAAGTAAAAATTAAAATAAAATTTAATAAGCCCGGCTTATTAATTGGATTAATTAAAGCCCTATTTTGGTGGATTTTCTTCATTTTTGTCAATCTTCTGTTCAGTATGCTCAGATTGACTTCAATCTTGTTTTTTCAGCTGTCAGCGTTGCCTGTAATGAGGAGAATTTAGTTTTAAATCCAATCACTTGATTAGGGTTGACATCATAGTCTTTATACCTGCATCATTGTAAAATATTGTGTGTCTTCCCTTCAGAATTTTTTGTTGCGTTGTTGTTTGAAATTAGACTAAGCTTATTAAATTATAATAAAAAATTAATACAAATACCAAAACAAATATGAGGTTTATAAAATATAGAATTACAAAAAAAATTGATTTTTATAAATAAAATATTAGGTATACATGTAAACACGGGCAAAAAAAATGTAATAAATATTTGACAAAATTCAAAACTCCGGCTAAAATTATGCCGGATTTGCTAAATTTTTGCCGGAGCCGGATTTGGGCCGGATTTGTAAAAATGGCCGGATTTCGGCCGGAGCAGGAGCCGGAGCCGAAATCTGGTACAGCCCTAATATATATATATATATATATATATATATATATATATATATATATATATATATATATATATATATATATATATATATATATATATATATATATATATAAAATCTATTTCATTTAAATCTAATATATTGTTTTTATTTGTTTCTTGTAATTTTATTTATTGAAAGTTTTAACCTGCATAATGTTTATATTCAAAATTATTTTTTTTGTATTTTTTTATTAGATTAAAATTGAATTATTTTCTGTATTAGGCATCCTATAATTTTTAATTGTTTAAAATTTAAGTAACATTTAAAATGAGACTATACTATTCTCAGAGGCAGGTAACATTTTTGATGAAAAAAGAGCTAGTTTGTTGCCCAAAACTGGATAGCAACTCTTTTTGCACCACAATATTCCTAAACTTCTAAAAATCCTTACATAATTCATTACTGCAAATAAAATTACATAGTGTTTGTTATCAATTTTGTATTTTTTACCTAGGTTTACCTATATTTCTTCATTGCCCTGTAGGAAAAGATTTTTTGATTTAATTTATACAGTCTGTGTTACATGCCTTAAAAAATAAAGTTAAAAAATAAATTCCGGCATTCCAGTCTGAAAAATTTTAAATCCAGCCAGAACCAAAATGACCAAAAATTCACAAAATCCGGCCGGAATTCTGGTACATCCTTACTGGAAACTTAATTTAAACTTATATAAAAATAAATTGTGTTGCTAATGTTAAATTTTTTCTTTGTTTTTGTGTCTGTAGGTTTTTGATATGGAAAATCACTTATTAAACATCAGAAATGATGGTTTAGAAATATTTACTAAGGTTTTTCTTTTTTTCTTTTTTTTTTTTTTTTTTAAAGGTACTTTTTCTTTATATAAAGCATATTTGTTGTTTTTAAGAAGTTTTTAAGTTTTAAAATGTTGTAAAAATAGCTTTTAATTGTTATAGATTTTTAATGAATCTCAAGGCGATAGTTGTACATTAAAAGCAAAGCAGTTTCAGGATCTTCTTCGTTTAGCTGATTTGTTTATAAAGTTACTAGCCAAACACCCGAAGGTAACTTCTTATATGATAAATTTTCTTAAAAATATTTTTTTGCTTACTTTTTTTTTAAAAATACTAAACGTTTAAACAAAACGAGACTCAGATGTCCTTATTTTTTTAATGACAGGTCAAATGATTATTTTATTGCTAGGTTACTAGGTTAGGAAAATATATAATTGAAGTGCCAAATATTGCATATAACCTTCCTAATTGACCATTTCTTCATCGGTTGTAATATTGTTAGGATTCGCACATATGCATAGGAGATATTAGAACTTGTACATGTGCATAGATGATGTCAGGATTTATGTTAATTTTGGACAAAAACGTAACTTTCAGAACACCGCTTCCTTCTTACTTTACAGAGAAAGTAGTCAGTTGTATGAAATAAAAGATTCCAATCATGACTGGTTCACTATATCCATTTAGTTTTTTTTTCTAATCCTTGCCATTTTTGAAGATCTATAGACTGCTTTTTGAAAAAAAGGCAGTTGGGGTAAATTGGCAAAATTTTTATGGGGCTAAATGGCTCATAGTATTTACTATGGGAAAAAAAATTTTATAAAACTATTTTTTTTTTTAATCTTATTAACAAAAAAAAGTTTAGCAGATAAATAGTGAGCTATTGTTATGGTTTATTATACAAACTAATATTTGGTACCAACTAAAACTAACATTAAGGTGGCGCACAACTGAAAGCAGGGTTGTTGTTTTTTTTTTGAGGAAAAAAACTAATATAAAAATTAAATAAAAAAAAGCATATAAAAAATTTTTTTGTGAAAAAAAAATTTCATAATGGCTGAAAATGCATTGTAAAAGCTGTGTTTTAAGCAAAACTTCAAACATTGATTTTGCCTTTATAACTCAAACTACAAATTTTTTGTACATAGTTTCCTAAGCATATTTTATCATGCTTGACTGTGGGAATTTTTGTTATTCAAATTATTTCAAAAAATATTGCATATTTAAAAAAATCACTTTACATTTATATAAAATATCAATAATTTTAGCACTTAAATCTACAATATTTTATTTATAGGAGGTAAATTCAATATCTATAAATTTATATCCAGAAATTGCTGTAACTACACCATGCAATGAATTGTGACCACGTTTCTGCCATGTACCATCAATTGAAACTCTTACGCATGGTATATCCTAAGCAATATCAATTTTTTTGCCAATAACATACTTTTCTCTGCAGCATTTATGTAAACTACCGTAAAAGTTCTGTTTAATATTTGAAAACCATTCAGAGATGGTTTTTAAGTTCATGCAAGATGAAAATGTTTTTATAGCTCTGTAACCACAGCCTATTTCTCGATAAGCTATTATTGCATGAACATTAACATCACATGGTGTGACAACTTTTACTTTATCCAATTTAGCATTTATTAATTTGGTTGATGAACTGAATCTTTTGATATAACCACATTGTTCACATTTTAACTGCAACAAATGTGCAAATCTTTTTCTACTGGAATCAACATTTGATAAAATTAATGGCTGAAAGCAGTTATTGCATGCAGTTTCAGCTATCAGTTCTTTGAAAATTGAAAATAAAAACAATATTATTTTTTTCATAGTCAAATGTATTTAAACAGTTTAATTTGATTTTTCTTTCGCTAGAACAGCTACTAGCTGTTTGATGGGTGCAAGATAATGAAATGCTAGATTTTTTATTTGCAACAACACTATTCCATTTTCATTTTATTCTTCTTGATAAATTTCTTTTACTTGTATTTCCTTTTTTTTCATTTAAAAATAATTTTACTTCAACTAAATTAAAATAAATTTTAATTTGATACAAAATGAGGAAAAGGTTTCAACATAAGAGGCTAAAATTATCAGTCAAAAAACACTCCTGTTCTTAAATTAAGTTTTGAAGTATGACTTTTAAAACGGTAAACTAACAAGAGTCTGCATATAATACATTAAAATCAAGTTTGTGATGGTATATTAGCCAATCTTTTTTTTTTTTTTTTCCCGACAACTAATTTTTATGCAGAGTGGCTAATAAGTGGCGTAGAGGTCATGTTTATATGAAAAATTTTTGTGTTTTTTAAATTTTTTTTATAGAAGTATTCGCGCCGATTGTTCAAAGTTTTTATGATTTTTAACTAAATTTTGAGCAATTTCCAAGCATTGACAATATAAGATTCTAATATTTCCAATTTCCAAGCATTGGCGAAATAGATTCTAATATCAAATCCAGTTAATTTGTTCATCGATATTTTCTTAATGTGTTCCTGTACCAAAAAAAAACACTTTACTTATTAATTTAAGAAATATGTTGTACCTATCTTTCACTGATGTCAATAGATAATTTAACACTTTGGCTAGTGTAAAGTAATTTTTTGTTGATCTTTGAGATTTTTTCCAGTTGTAAGACAAACTTTATAATTTTTATTTCATTTTGGTATCAAATGATGTTTTTTTTTTTAAAAAAAAAACTATTACTGGAGCCTTGGATTAAACAAATCCAAATCGAAAATAGTTCCCTTAAAAAATTGGGTAAAGGACTTTCTATCTTTTGTTGTAAGCTAAAGTAGGTCAAAACGTATCAATGTGATTCAAAAATATATATACAGATTTTTTTGTAGTTATTTTAGGTGCTCCAAGAAGACCTAATGGTCACATCACAGAGCACCACAGAAGAGCCATTAACTTGGAAGTTTAAGCTGCTTCACATTTAAAAGCCTAGAGTAGGCATCAGGATTCAGAATTTTTTGGTGTTTCAGACAGCTAACAGACATGGCGCAAACTCCAAACATTTTTATGTTTAAAATGTGTCAAAAAATGATGCTTTACAAATTATTGTAATGATTGGAGGCTGGGAACAAAAAAAAAAGCTCCAAAACTTCATCCCCCTTGCCCCAAACACGAGAGCAACAAGTTGGTAAAATGATTTTTTTTCCTATTCTTTATTAAGTTTATATTCATCGATAAATTTTAAGTTTCATAGTATTATCTTTTTTTTTTTTTTTTTTTTTTTTTTTTTTGCATTCACTCCCAACAAGGCTGCAAGCAACCACTATTACGTTGGGAGTTACTAGAAAGAAAAAAAAAACAGAGCTATAGAGCAAGGAAACGGTTGACAGAAGACTTGAAAAGTTGAAGGTTGTATGAGTCAGGAAAACATGAAGATGGGAGAGAGTTCTAAAGGATTGAAGTGCGGGGAAAAAAACTAGATGAATAAAAGTTTTTAGAGCATGCAGGGACAGATACAGTAAACGAATGAGACTTAGCTGAATGACGAGTAAAACGAGAATGAATTTTAGTTGATGGAACTAGAGATGATAACTCTTTTGAGCAGTGACCATGATAGTATCTGTAGAAAAGAGAAAGAGATGCAACTTTACGACGATGGGAAAGAGGTTCAAGCTTAGCAGATAGTCCAGGTCCAACGACATTTACAATGCGTTTTTGGACCTTGTCAAGAAGAGAAAGTGAATCGTTAGAAGAACCAGCCCAAATATGACAACAGTATTCCATACAGGGACGAATAAGAGATTTGTAGAGGTAGAGAATGGAATCAGAAGTAAGGAAATGGCGAGCACGATAAAGAGAAGCAACCTTAGCAGAAGCTAATTTAGCAATCGATTGTATATATGGTTTCCATGAAAGGTCAGTAGTAAGCGATAATCCTAGAAGACGTAAAGAGGACGACTCAGTAAGAGGATTGCCATTCATTAATATAGGAATGTTGACCATATTACGGTAGTTGTTTGCAGTAAGCAATTGGGTTTTTTTAGAGTTGAAATTCACAAGCCACTGTGAACCCCAATCTATTACTGAAGTGAGATCAGATTCAAGATCAGCTGCTTGTTCTAGGCGATCGAAAAGAGAAGACTTTTTGTCAAGACAGTAGTATAAAGTTGAGTCATCAGCAAAAAGAGCTACTTTAAATGAAAGGTTGTCAGGAAGATCGTTTATGTAGATAAGAAACAAAACAGGGCCCAGGGTGGAACCTTGGGGAACACCAGAAGTTACTGGAAATAAAGAAGAGTGTTGGCCTTCAAGGATGACTTTAATAAACTGGTTAGAAAGAAATGATTTGATAATCTCAAGAACTTTCCCAGAAACACCATATGAAGCAAGCTTATGGAGAAGACCAGCATGCCAAACTTTGTCGAAAGCTTTAGATATGTCAAGAGCAATAGCCCTAGCCTCACCGCCTTCATCTAATGCACGATAAAATCTTTCAGTTACAGCAGTTAGCAAGTCGGCCGTAGAGCGAGAGGATCGAAAACTGTGTTGATTGTCTGACAGTAGTTTTTTTTGACTTGAGATGAGATGTGAGGAATTTGTTGATCAAAGACTCAAAGACCTTGCTAATAACAGAAAGAAGACTGATCGGACGATAATTGGAGGGTCAGAATTTTCTCCAGAGTTTTTGAATATTGGAACCACAGATGCCATTTTCCAACAAGCAGGAAAACAAGACTCAGTCAAACACTTGTTAAATAGTTTAGAGAGAATTGAAGAAAGTTCTGGAGAACAATTCTGCAAGACTGTGACAGGAATGTTGTCTGGACCACAAGCTGTAGACGAGTTTAATTGAGATATGACTTTAGCAACAGAAGCTGGAGTGATTTAAATGTCTAACAATGGAATGGAATGGAAGGAAGAGAATGTCCATAAGATTCAAGAGTGGAATTAGAAGAAAAGTTCTTTGCAAACAGTTCTGCCTTATCCCTGGGAGAGGTAACAAGATCAGTTCCATGAATGAGAGATGGAATGTTAAATCTACCCTTGTTAACAATGCTGTTGAAGATTTTCCAAAAGTCTTTAGACTTTTGGAAAATCTTCAACAGCATTGTTAACAAGAGCCTAACTTCTGCGATAAGATGCGAGATTTAGTGAACTGAGAATAATGGAGTTTAGCATCAGAAAGCACCTTTTTACATCGATTTCTTGCAATAATAAATAGCCGTTTGTTCTCAAGAGAGTTGTTCTTTTGAAAAAGATGAAAAAAATGGTTACGATTGGATATAGCAGCCGCACAAGAA